GTAATTCCAACAACCCTGTATACTGATGTAACTATTGCCCCTGCATCCCGCTTTACAGATGGAAAAACTGACAGACATACTGTGGTTTTACAAAGCAAATGGGGCATTCACCTTTTATATTCTAGTTAGAGGAAGCAAACAGTATAGCGATGGCTAGAACGAGTTTCAGCAAAGAGCCAGAGCAAGATGCCATGACTGCAGTGACTTAGACGGCTACTTTGGAGTGGGCGACCAGGGAAACGTCTTGGGAAGGTGGTAGTGACAAACAGGAAGCCACTATGGAAACACTAATCAGAGGTCCTAATTGCTAGAAGCTCCAAAAGTCATGCATAGAAAGCATCTGTCGCTGGTTCTGATTTCATGAGTCGGGACATCTGAACCCTCCAGACTCTCCAACTGCCTCTTGCCCACAGACTAAGATTTTGATGCACCAACTTCTAACCTCAGCTGCATACAAACACTCTGGGTGCTCTCTCCAGAGATGAGTGGAAACGTATTGGTTCTTCCAATGGCCTCAATATTATCCCAGAAGGCAGAGGTTGAAGCCCTGACTCCCAGTGTGATGATACGGCAGGTGGGCCCTTTGGAGGGATAACGAGGGTGAGATGAGCTCACGAGGGTGAGATTCCATAATAGAATTAGTGCCCTCACGACAGGAGGAAAGGGCCAGAGAGCTTGTGCTCTGTCTCCACCATGTGAGCACACAGAGAGAAGCAGGCCGTCTGCAAATTAAAAGAAGAATTAACTGGACACCACCATCATGGGCACTTTGACCTTGGACTGGGTTCCCAGCCTCCAGGACTGAGTGTGAGAAATAGATGTCTGTTATAGCCCAAGCTGAGATTGTGCTCAATGACTGACTCATTGTTACTCATTTCATACGTGTGGTCACAGGGACCCGCCTCCTATTTTATTGCTTGCTCTGCACAGACCATGAAAATAGACATCTAGGGCCTAACATTAATCCAGGTCATGCCTTCGGACCTCTACGGAAAAACTAATTATAGCTTTTTTATAGGTATCACTCATCAAAATGAAGCACATTTTTTTTTTTAGCTTCCTTACGTCAAAAATTGGTTTAAACTGGTTTTCAGGAAAATTGCTATGTTAAACCAAGATTTAGCTCTTGTTAAACATTGAAAAAAAATTTTTTTAGTGCTGGGGATTAATCCCAGAGCCCTGCTCATGCTAGGTAAGTGCACTCCCAGCCCAGCCCAACATTCAAATATTCACTGAACACCTACCAAGTATGCAGCACATTCTGCCCAGGCCTCTTGGTCTTTAGGATGTACAGGAATCACCTGGGACCCTTGCTAGGTTGTAGATTCTAATTCAGCAGGTGGTGGGTATGGGCCCAAAACCCAGCACTCCTAGCAGGTGACCACACTGAGCAGTGGGGCTCTAGTCCAATAAATATCAACTCTGGCTTCTCCTTGCAATTGTCTAGGGAGCCCCTAGAAAGTACGGATACCCAGGATCACCCCAAACACATTAGGTCAGACCCTCTGGGGCTGGGGGTCGGGCACTAAAAAACTTCTCTATAAAGCTCTTGAGCCATTTGAATGTGTGGCCAGGACTCTTCTAAGGATAGATCAGGTAGCCCTCAAGGGCAGGTAGAACGCAATTGTTTTAGATAGTGGTACCAGTCATCATGGAGGGGATGACTGGGCCAGCGATGGGTGACAGGGCATTTAGGCTGAAGCAGAAACAATGAGCTCAAAACAGCACTACTGAGGTCTAGGAAAGGATCCAGGCAGAGCAAAGAACCACGAATTCTACACGGAGTTTTCTGGGAAGACCACGACCACATTTGTGCTTTGAGGAAACAAAGCTATCTCAAGCCAAGAAGAACCTCCAGGAGGCACAGAGAGTGAGATGAGTCCCTGCCCTGGAGGTTCTTAGGAAGATGTGTGCTAGTATTTGCCAGAGGCCTACCTAGGGCTGAGGCATGGACACAGTCATACTCTCACAAAGCCCTCACACTTCCTGTGTCCCTCAGGAATGTATGTGGAAGAGTAGCAGCTGGTGGAGATGGACGTAAAACAGGAGCCTCCAGAGACTGGGAGAGTCTCCAGCAGCTGGGTAGAAGGGATGCCACTCTGTCATAGCCCCAAAACTGGAACTTGGAGCTCTGGCCCACCTTGGAGCTCTAGCCCTCCCAGAATGGGAGTCTGAACTGAGTACCTGCATCCCAGCTGCCCAGAAACCCACTCCCCGGTGGAGTTCTGGAGTAGGGATAGGTGGCTTCACCTTCTCTCCAGAGGCGGACCCTGTGACCCAAGTCTAAGCCAGCCCAGAGCCCAGCACTCCTCTGGCCCAAGCAATTGGGCTAGAGTACTCATGCGGACCAAGACAATCCAACCCTGCAGAAGCAGCTCAGTCCTGGGCACGCTCTTTCCCAGTACTTCTGAGTCTGGGGGGACCTAAGATTGGTTGGACCTAATCTTCCCACATTTGAACAATCCAAGTTCAACAACAGAGGGAAACTGAGTATTGGACGCCACTGTCTTAACCTTTGATCCGACACTTCCGGTTATTAAACCAGTAATTTCTTTAGGAGGCTTCTGTTACTGCCTTAGAGGCTGGCCTCCTCCACCCCCACTACAGCAGACACAGAACTGCGTCTGGCTGCTCCCCCTCTTCCAGGCACTGGAAGTGCCTCCTGCAAGGCTGCTGAGTGGGAACTGGCATCATCATCATCATCACCATCATCATCATAATCACCTTGTCTTCCTAATGTCAAGAAACCCTGTTGAGATACTGTCTGCTCCATTGTGTTGGAACCTCCTTGCTGACAGGGGCTGCATATGGTACCTGCTCACATTTCCCAATCCGTCCTGCTCTTGGGCCGGACACATAGCACAGATGCCTGCTCTGATGTGGAATGCAAAGTGGGCCGAGAGTCTCACCTGCCAGGGATGAGGAGGCTGGAAGGGAAGGAAGGAGACCAGAAGCTGGTGTGGCAGAGTGGGGAGGGCATGGCAAATAACTGAGGAGGCTCCTCCTTGCTGAGAGATCTCGGGAAGCACTAAACTTCTGAGCTTTTTGTTCCTGCCTTTGGAAAAACACAGTAAGAACTGAAGTACACGATACAGCAACATGCACTTTCCTTCTCATTTGCCCCATATTTACTGAGCCCTACCTATGTGCCCGGGCTCTATTCCAGAAACAGCCAATACAAAGCACAACACAAATGTTAATCATTGCTAAAGACGCTGCCAATTTCCCTTCACTTCTCTCTCCATAAGAGGGACAAGGTCAGGCCTTCTTGCCTGCTTTAGATGTGTGTCAAACGCTTTTTGATCAGACAGGACCCTGGAGATACAGAGGCCACAATGAAGCACAGGAGAACTCTAGCTGTAGAAATGTTGTCCCAGTCTCAGACAGCATGCTCAGGCTCATGGGGCAGAAGTTACCCAGGGACAGAGGAGGGCATGGCCAGCCCAAGACGACAGCACCAGTGAACTAGAACAGCTCCAAAACTCCCCTAACTGATCCCTTCTCCAGAGCAGTAATGTCTTCCCACGTAGGTAGCACCAACTGTAGCATTTCAGGTCTCTGGAGTGACAGGGCGATCCCCAACATTGGCATCTCCAGCCTTATGCTTGTTTACCATGACAAGGTCAGGGCAACCTGTACATTCACCTCCCTGGACAGCAAAGAAGATCTGCCAGGCCAGAGTAAGGACAGCATGGGCACCACCACCTGTGGGGTCACCAGGATGGAAGGAGCCACTCAGGAGCAGGCATCCAAGTTCACAGAGAACCCCAGTATGGACCTACAAGTGGTGGTCCTGCTCCTCCATGTCCCAAATGTCTTTCTTGAAAGGCCTCTGGGGAGGGAGGCTGATGGCATAGGAAACATCTGACAGCTCTGAGGGATGACCATGGCCTTAGAAGCTCAACGAACCAGAGACATCTGGTTCCAAAGCCAGCTTCACCACTTTTGTGGCTTTGAGCACTTTGTGTCCCCCTCCTAGACCTTTCCTAGCCTGTAAATTGGGCATACTTGGCTCAAAGAAGATGACAATAAAACATATGAAGACTTCCATCAAGACCTGCTCCCTTACTCCACAGTTCCATCTCCTTTTACACACAACCCCACACAGTGCCTTACCAGGCTCTTCTGAGGCCTGAGCAAGCAAGTACTCTTCCACCCATTTCACAGGAGACAAACAGAGTCCAAAAGATTATGGGATTTGCCAACAGCTTGGTGGAAAAATTCTCTATAAATAAAACCTCATCATTCCTTCCAGTCTTTTGAATACATCTTCCCACTGGATCCTCCTCATAAAGACCCCAAGTGTTGGGGCCAGACTTAATGCCTAGAAGAGCCTTTGGGGGGCTGACTGCCTGCGAATACTCTCTCCTCCTGAGAACCTTCTTCACTCATTTAAGTGAAGCCTACTTATGGCAGGGGAACAGACAAGACATCATTATGGGTCCTGATCACCAGTGACCGCTAAGAGACTCCTGAAGAGGAACAGGGCAGATGCCACCTCCTGGGCAGCATCTCAGGGACTACCGTTCCGGAGAAAGGCCACATATCCCAGTGTCCCCCTACAGCTGGCCCAGTATACTCTGACCCCGGAGGGTCCTCCCAAAGTGCCGTCTGCCAAAGCAGCTGAATCTGCTGAGCTCCTCCAAATGTGTACAGTGAGCAAAGGGGAAGCAAACAAAGACACTGGCAAACCAACAAAATCAAGAGAGCAGGGAAAACACAGTATTTAGGAGCTTGGTGAGAACAAAGACAAAAATTTCAAACTCTTGAATGTGACCTTAGTTGTTGGGTAAAGAAAGCATTTGTGTTGCTTAGCAGCCTGGCTGACGAATGTCTGCGGTTGTCTCTCAACACCATAGGACTGACTACTCTTTCTCACTGCTTCCTAAAACCTCCTCTCCGCCCTCTGGCTGGAGCTGTCCACATAAGCACCATCTCCAGGCCAGGCCAAAGAATGCAGGACGGAGGGGATGGGCTGGGGAGAAGAATCTACTTCTTACCAGGATCTGTGCAGTTCTTAGCCATATGAGTCCCATTCACCGGTGCCATCAACTTTCTATTTCTCCATATGTCCTGTAGAGTATGTTTGCTGGCAGAAACTGTTTTGTGCCCTGGATCAGAAAATAAGTCAGAGACACCATTAGTCAACGTGATACCTGCATTCTCAGTGACCTCTCACATGTATGCGTATCTAGCTGTGTTAGCAACAGCTCTCTGGCTGTTTAGAGCCACCTGTGGGGAAGCCACACAGTGATTACAAGTATGCTGCCACCTGCTTACTCACAGCAGTCTGGACCTTGGATCTAATTCATTGTTTCTAGTTCCAGGTGGGTCAGTATATAATCTGACCTTGGATAGGATGAGCTGGTCTCAGCCCCTCATAGGTACAACACAGGGTTTAATTAGGTAACCATTAAGCCCTCTTTTAGTAAACATGCGCACCACAAGCGTATGCTAAGTCAGCAAGCAGGTAGGGACAGACGAGATGGACAATGGCCCAGGACTTCTCCCACCTGGATGTGCACATGGAACACTAGGGGATCTTGGTCAAATGCAGATTGTGATCCAGCAGGTCCTGGGTGGGACTTGGATTCTACGCTACCAAGCTCTCGGAGCTGCTGATGCTGCTGACCCAAGGGCCACCAGAGCGACGTGGGAGGTGAGGCTGTCCATCACCAAAGGCCAGTAAACTCCCAAAGGTAATTCCTGACCCAGCAAATAAAGACAACCTCACTCCAGACCTCCACAGTATCCATTTCCCTCTCCCCACACGCACTTCCAGGAGAGTAACGGTACTTCTTCTAGAACGCTGATGCCTAGGCATCTCTAGGCACTTTGTCATTTGTAGTGTGGAACTGAAGAAAAACACCAACTTGCCCAATTGCAAAGCAGCAAATATTAAGACGTTCAAAACAAACTTTCTGAGTTTCTTTTGAAAGAGCCACATTTTAATCCTCTGTTCTCTAATTCTCTATCTGGACTTTGAAAGGCAGTATTATTTTTTTAAGTTTCACCCACTTGCTTTTTACCTATGGTTGCAAATGTCTCTGAACAGTCAGTAGATGCTAAGGGCCTTTCTATCTGCTCAAGACAGTACCTTCTGCCATTCCTCCATGTCTCGGTTGCTAAATCACTAGCATCTCTTTTGCCTTTTATGTTTAAAAAAATAAACAAAAGATTCATAGCAGCTAACTCAGTGAAAGCACAGGGCAATGAATGTTAGTTATTTGTAGGCTCAACTCCCCCCACCCCAAACAGGCATTTGGATAAGTTTCTTCCCTTTCCCATGCCCGCTGAAAGGCGCTGTATCCTGGGAGCTCCACGACAGCATGGACGGCCAGGGCACGAATCAGCGCCCCTTCTGTACGGATTAAAAGGAGTTTAGAGAAGCGGTACTGAAACATGGCAGCAATCTCCCGCGGGTACAGACTGCCCGGTCCGTTTAGGGTTGTGGGGGGGGCATCAGAAAACCCAAGGCATCCCTTTGGACCGAGCAGGAAAGGGAACGGGGAGAGCAGAGACCCAAGGCCAGTTTCCGACATCTGAGTCTGGGTCTTCAAGGGACTCAAAGCACAGCCCTTGCGGAAAAGCGGAACACTCAGTCTCCCCCACCCAGAGCAAGGCAACCCCCGTCTCCGGGCCCTGCACTCCAGGGACAGAAGCTGTGCAGGCTCGTGTCTTAGTAACCCACACCTACAGCCTGGTCCTGAGCCTCCGGGGGCAGCGCCGCAGCTCAGGGTCCGTCAGCCCTCAGGGTGCGCCCTACCTACCGCAGGGAGGGGACTGGAGGAACCCTGGGGACCCACCTGAAGAGCACTGGGTGGGAGCTGTCCCACGGCTTCCCAGCCCAAGCATCCCAACACCCGGGGCAGAGGGAGCTGGTACTAGCACCTACCCAAGCTGCCCAAGAGGCCGGACGCACAGCACACCAGAGCCAGCACCGCACACATGAAGCCAACTTGCTGCGGCAGCATCTCTCTCCGCCCTCGAACTTTGCGCCGCCGCCGAGGAGTCCCGCGAAGCGCCATCTCTGTGTCTGAGTGCCGTCCCTGGGAGAGGATGCGGAGATTCAGGACTCCGGGCGCCGCCTGTGCTGAGCGACGCTGGAGCTGGAGCGGGCGCTGCGCAGCTCAGAGGCGAGAGGCTCCGGGCCAAAGCTTCATGGCCCGTGAGTGACGCCGGCGGGGAGCGAGGTCTCCAGAAGAGACGGGAGGCGGAGGCGCCCCGCGCGGTCGGAGCTCAGAGTC